GAGAAGGTGTTTTTGTTTTTGTTTATTTTATTTATTTAATGAGAAAATTGTATAGTTACCATTTTGCCCCTTTTAATTTTGTCAAAATTGGTCAGGGTCTACTATCCTTGGTTAACTAACAATCAAATGGATGGAAACCGTCCATTTGGACCTCTGCTGCATATTTTCGAAAGGTTTTGGACTGTGGCTAGTACAAAGTGAAAGTTAGGGTAAAGTTTGCAAAAAGTTGAAAGGTTAGGGACCTCTACTGTAATTATTCCTATGAATTATTCACACAACGTATTTAAAGTTATTATATTTTTTAAGAACATTTGCATTGACTTGAGTGCTTTTCTCTCGTTTTAAAAAGAACATTTTGGCAGAAACACAACAAAAAGAACGAGATGTGTTAGTTAATGAAATGTAGAATGAATAATGCTAGGTGTACATAANAATGAAATGTAGAATGAATAATGCTAGGTGTACATAACCATTCACATAATGGTTCACATAATACTGATGTGGCAATCATCCACTTGTTGATGTGTAAGTGTGAAATTTGAATTAAATGTTGGATCACATGCTGTTTATGTAAACCATTATGTGAATGGTTATGTACCTGCAGCATTACTCAATGTAGAATATAAGAATTTGACGAGAAAAAGGTTTTTAAAAAATGTTATAAAGAGAAAAAGTTGAGGATCTGAAGTACAATTAACATATGATGCAACAAAAAAAAAAATTTATGGTATAAATAAGGCTCGATGTCGGGTGAGTGAATCTGGATATTTCAACACCCAAAATCACCTATTACATTTCGGGTATTTTGTGTAATATAATCATTATGATTAGCGTAATTACTGAAACTGAACATGAACCCGAATTGTCAATTCAAGTTCGATTCCATCTATAATATTTTTTAGTGTTATCAAATACAATACAATCTCTTTCAAATACAACTGAGTTGAACAATACAATCTCTTTCTAATATCTAGCAAACATAGAAAAAATAAAATGTCATCAAATACATATTTAAAGTACAATAAAATTTATATTTTCATTATTTAATAGAAAGAGAAGAAACAAAACATGTCATCAAATACATATAAATTATTTCTTAATTGGCTGTAAATATTTCAACAACATTTTTTCTGGGCCTCACGAAGTTGCTACTCATTGGATCAAGTCCCACTGTCCCAGAATCAATGTGAATAAATTGTTAAAAATAAAAAAAATTATAAAAATGATAAATTCGATTTTAGAATGAGGTATCCACGGTTCCGATTCAAGAACCACAAATCGTTTGGACCCGATCAATTCTCAATTTCGATTTTTAATCTTTTTGGAGTCGGGCTTAAACCTCAATTTCAGTTCGAGAGGTTTGTTTCCTGTTACGTAAATATAGCTCATGTTTGATGATGATTAAAATAATATTTTAGTAAATTTTGATAAAAATTGAAGAAATGTGTAGTTAAAAAAATGTGGGTCCCATAAAATATTCAGTTAAAATTTGTTATTGACTTTTACTTAAATTAAAATTTTAATTTCTAGTTTTCTACCAAACATGGTCATAATTAACACTAAAATAATACGGTAAAAAGTGAAAATTTGAACGACCATTTGTCCTCTTCAAGTCCAATAGTAATACTTCCTCCTTTCGATTTATATGTGTTGACTTTCTTCATTTTTTTGTCTCAAATTATAGTCTCTTTTCTATCGAGAATATATTTGTTTCGTTCTTTTACTCATATTCCCTCATTTAATTTGCCTAATTATAATTATTTTTTATCACTTATTCTTGTAATTGTATAGATTTTAATTTACCTACTCATTGAAATCATTCAAATACATAAACACAGTTCTCAGAGGGAGCTGAGTTTAAGTGATTTAGTATTTTACACCATTATTTGTCAATGCTACTACTAATTTTTAATAATTAAATAAGGGTAAATTAAAACAAATCTTTTCGAAAAATCCTTTTTCAATAGTATTAAATAATTTTTTTTAAATTCATGTGAAAAATAAAATCAGTCTATTTGGATTGATGAGACGCTATGTCAGGTCAGCATCGAGTTGGCCGACTTTCCATTACACAAATTGCGTTTGTAAATTTATTCAAACACACACAGAATAGAAGATTACATAAGAGCACGCTTGCACGCACACATATATATTGAGAGAGAAGCTCTCAAACTTTTCGTAAGAGCTTTTCCAAATATGGGTGAGGTAAGCACGATTCTTTATCTTACAAAATTCTATTTGTACTACGCATTTTTACTTTGTGATCTTTAAACTAACATGTTTCTTCATGAATCCAATTCTGGTTACAAGAATTTAGATTGCAAAGTTACTCGAATATTTAGAAACGTTCTTTTATAGTTTCAGTGATATGTATTTGTTTATGTTGTTAAAGGAGAAGAAAGAAGAGGCAAGCAAAGAGGAGAAGAAGGAAGAAGAGAAAAAAGGAGAAGAAAAGAAAGATGAAGAGCCTCAAGAAATTGTGCTCAAGGTTGACATGCACTGTGAGGCCTGTTCCAGAAAAGTTGCCAAATCTTTGAAAGGATTTCAAGGTCATTTCTATAAACCTTATTAGTCAGTAGTGTCTTTCTTGGAATATTAGGTTGGTTACCACAAAATGATGCTAAAAATGCAATGAACTATATGATTAACTTATTTAACAGGAGTGGAGGATGTAAAGGCGGATTACAGGGCCAGTAAAGTAGTAGTGAAAGGAAAAACTGCAGACCCTGTAAAAGTGAGCGAGAGAATTCAAAAGAAAAGTGGCCGAAAAGTGGAAATCATTTCACCATTGCCAAAGCCACCTGAAGAGGTTAAGGAAGAAATTAAGGAGGAGCCCAAAGAGGAGAAGAAAGAAGAGGTACATCTCTAGTCTATCCCAATTTGAAATTTTGATTCCGCAGTAAATTTGAAAAAGTGTAGACTGTAGAATTAAATGTTGGTTGGTGTATGCTGAGTAGACGCCAGCTTGGGCTGGCCTCAGTGCAACTTGTGAATGGAGATTGAAAAGTATATAGGGACTGGGCACATTTTACAATGAGTTATGGCTCTGTTTGACCCCACTGCTGTTGCACAGATTGTACGTACTGTCAGGGCCTCGTTAAGAATTCACGGGGCTGAGGCCTGAGGCTGAGCCGACCTCACCTACACTGAAACGTCTGAATTTGTTTCTGTACAAGAACGCGCGCACGTGCTTGGAAAATGATATTACATCTATTGGGATATATATTACTAAACATGGATTTTTATTTATTTATTTTTAATTTTAAGATGATGAACTTACAGTTTGGTTATGTTGTGGTAGATTCTGACATGTTTGACATGTAATATTGAATACGAATATAGATTCATCTTTAGCTTTGTCCCAAGTTTTGGCTGCTTTTCACTTTTTACATTTTTACATGGGGCCAATTCACTGAACCAAAATGCATTGTTTTCTCTATTCTTTACTGTTTTTGTCTTCATGTTTTCATTGATGCATGGCTGTGAAGTAGGTAGGTGTAGCCAAAAATTGCTAGGTACCAATCATGAGGATAGAAAGAAAAGGGAATTACAAAAGAACTATATTTCTTAAAAATAATTTTCTAATTTGATTTGAACTTAGAATTTAAACTAATGTTGGGTTTTATCTCACTTAGCAGCCACCTGCTGTTATAACAGTAGTGTTAAAAGTTCGAATGCACTGTGAAGCATGTGCTCAAGCACTGCATAAGAGAATTCGAAAAGTTAAAGGTAAATAACTTTTGCTATTCTTCAAAGTGAACTCGTGCAGCAGGACTCAATTCACAATGCATTGTGTATTGCTGTGCATTGTAGGTGTAGAATCTGTGACAACTGATCTTGCAAACGATCAAGTAATCGTGAAAGGCGTTCTTGATCCTGATAAGCTTGTGAACGACGTGTACAAGAAAACCCGTAAGCAAGCATCAATAGTGAAGGACGAAGAAAAGAAGGAAGAGGAGAAGAAAGTCGAGGAAAAAAAGGAAGAAAAACCAGACGAAAAGAAAGGAGAAGAAGAAAGTAAGGAAGAAGATGATACTAAAACCGACGTCAAGAAAAGTGAATACTGGCCTCCTCCCAAGTACAACATGGAGTACGCGTACCCGCCTCAAATGTTCAGTGATGAAAATCCACATGCTTGCTCTGTTATGTAATCGATTTCGTTTACTTTCAGGGCATTTTCGTTGGTCATCGTACGTTAGATTGGCCATGTACTAATATATATCAATAATTATACTGGCCTTTGGTGATCCAAAGTTTATGCCCTCTGCAGCACTTTTCAAAAGTAACTCTACATTCTGTTCTTTAAGGGAAATAATTCTATACATCTTAGAATAGGATATGCATAAATTGCATCTATTCAAGCGTGTTTGCTTTATCGAATTCTGTGAATTCTCTAGCAACCATATAAAATTATAAAATTGATGACCTTATTCATGAAAATCTATCATCATTTGGGCCAAGCTAGGATATTTAGTCCGGGAGATCCTTAATTTCTGTGACTATGAAATGTCTTATACACGAACATGTAGAAATTTCGAGTGCCGGACAGATTCTGTGAAGGTGCATGTGCTGCCATATTTTGTGGCTGTGGCACAGAGATCTTGAACACTTATTAAGTTGCCCCCACAATTCCACCTTCTGAAACTCGTAATCTAGATTAGGAAAAAGGGGGTGGGGGCACATGAATCGAACAATGATTGAGATGCCTTTGGTCCATAATGTTGTCGCAAGTCGATGGCAAGATCAACCATAAGCATATAATCGAATTCTTGAATGGAAGGAGCATATACAAGGAAATTTGAGGCGGATTTGCAGACTTTAATATATGAGAAAGAAGTTATTAAACAGGAAAACCTTTGCATGTCAAATACACTTTAAAGCTCTCTTCATGGCTTTTCTCAAGGTTAGCACAAAGGAACGGTCTTGACATCTACTTTCTGATAATTATATCAAGTTATTAGTTACAGAGTGATACAAAAGACTGCTGTTCATATGGAATTTCATCGCTGTATGGACTTGTAAAGCAACACTGTCACATATTTGGAACGGAACCTATTAGTCGAACCAAGGGCAACCACTGATGGACGGCTCCTATCCTTGTGCATGTAGAGATGGTTTAGCACAACATGTTGAGGTCTTGAATAAGGAGGGGTAATTTCCATGTGAGCTGACGGGGCATTAATCAAACTCAACTGCAGATGTGGAGGAACCATTGGTGGTTCTTTTGCATAGTCCTGTGCAACAAGTTGCGAGTTGTTGTAACTGGAATCTGGGGATTGGGGCGGTTCAAAACCTGATATGCTCTCAATATCTTCCGAGACATAATCCTAAGCACAAGGCAGTAAGACACATTTTGTCAATAAATATTGCTGCCACCCAGCAACCAATCAAGATGACATTCTGCGAGCTCATAAAAATGTTAACTCATCCTCCCAATGCTCCCATGTGAACCAAACGCACATCATAAATTAATTGCCAGCAAACTGAAGGAACAAATATGCGAATTGCCATGATAAAGGATACATAAAATATAAAAGGGCGCGATTAGGAAAAGATCAATTGTTCGGACCATATTTGTCCATTGGATCATTAGGAGAAGGTGGTAAATTCCTAGTGACGAAATGAGTAGGGATGTCAAACCTTCATTGAGCATACAAAGCACGTACCTACAGAAAAACAACCAGTACTGACACTTCTACACTGATTTGAGTGACATCCTACTATCCAACGAAAGATTCTTTTGCATTAGGGTTAGATCCGCTTTTTCCCTCAAATTGTGAGATGATTTACCGAAACTTTAATTTTACCACTTAACTCCCTTTTTTAAAATCTTTGCTAAATCAATCCAAACTGTTAACTTGCCATCCAAAATGGACTGTTTGCACCTCAAATGACATAAAGAAGGGCAAAATTAACATTACAACGAAAGTACGGATAATGCTATAAAAATTCTAAACAAGTATATGAAGTTCAATACCCCTTAGAAGCTGCAACCATGCCAGCCATCCACCATAATACCCTCATATAAACAGGAATCAAAACAGGTAATAATACACTGTTAGACAATCCAATTACTATGATTAACTCCTATTATAAATTCTTGTTGCACCAAGAGTCCAATACGCAATACACTTGCCACTCAACCCACTCGCAACATCTATTTACACCATTGCCACACTGTATCTAACGAGTAATTTCAATTAGCTGACAATATTCACAGCTATGAAGAAAGAAAGAACAGGTATCATTCACAGTAAGCATACCAAATAGCTTCCCTCCCCACTTCATTCTCTACAAATTGATGCAAACCGAAACAAACCTAGTATTTTGTTTGTTGAACAAGTTTCTGCTATTTTTAGATGTCAGAAATTCGAAAATCTAGGGAGGATTTATGGATATGAGAGGGAAGGTGTACAGTAGAAAATATGACCAAATAGGTTGTGCTGGGATGGGGTTGGACAACATGGTGCGTCAAAAAAAGAGATGACGAAGTAATAGTGGCACGTTGGTCTTCTGGCGTTTGTCAAAAGACAAGTCTTTTTTGGTAAGTGGTTTGTCTTTACTGAGGGAATTGTCTTTCCATAGAAATCAAGGGGATAATCTGTTATCTAATTAATAATTCAGGAGGCAATGAGATATGCGGGAAGAAATGTGGATTTTAACATTTAAATAAAAAATATTTAATTACAAATTATGAAGAATATATTGGATATGAGGAAGAAAAAAGGATATTGAGATTCATTCAAACTGATATTTTACTCAACTATGAATGAAAAAGAAAAATTATTGTAACATGGTTGTTCATTGTAATTGAGACAGCCAGAATCCATTAGACTTCAAGTGAAATTTTGTACAAAACTACTTTGAAAAGTAGCACCATTTGCAATGGAAGGCCAAATTCTCCCTATCTAATACTACAACAAACAGGGAAGGAGAAACCTCAAGTCATAAAGAAAAATTGACAACTCCACGATACAGAATAGCATTCATGACCCCATAAATAGAGAAAGCCAACAAAACATATCACATGTTATATTTTCATTGTTAGTCATGGCACAAGTCATTATGGGAAACATATGAATATGATATGCCTCCAAAACATACTTGCACCTTTAGTCAGCATGACAAACCTTCACATTTTCCTCTGAAATATATAAATCAGTAATAGTTAAACAATTTTTGCACACAGTGCAGGTTCTAAAAGGAACAGAAAGAGAACATAAAGGGATACAGATGGCAATTATCATAGGACAAGGACTAGGTAAAGTAATGTAATAAGGCTACTTTTAGGGGGGGGAAATTCTAAACCAACAAATGGAGAAAAACAAAGATTCATGTAAGCTAACCCAAATTTATAGTTTGTTGTTGCTTTAATGGGACAAAATAAGGATCAACTTCAACATGACATTTCTATTTTCTGTCCCAAAAAAATTTGCAGGTTACTTCTTAATCTATTTGTACTTAAATGAGTAAAAATAATGAACAAAGCAACTGGATTTTAAAACAAGAAATCAATTCACGTAAAGCTATACAATGCAGGCAAGAACATATTCAGATGAGAAACCAAGTACCTTTAAGTCTAAAATGTTGTAATAGTTGCCAGCATCGTCCTGGTCCCATAACACGTCTGGGGAATACCTACGTTGTCCATCAACAACGAACCTATAGTGATAAACTCCTGAAGGCAGTACTTTCATAATGGTGAAATCTTTCCCTGATCTCTGTAATGGCTTCCTGATGGAAAGATACCAGTATGCAAAATCTGTTTATATTCGTAAAAGTCTGAGCTTGATAATTGATTGCTTACGCAATAATATAAGTACTACCTTGTCATCCAGTTGTCCCATGATCCCTCCACAGCCACTTCCTGGCCCCCATGGCTCCATATGATCATAGTTGGAATTCCTTGCTCCATATACTTGTCTTCATACCCTGATGTCGTTTGCATCCATGACGGGCTGGGGATGTGCCTCTCGTCAGATCTTTGCAAAGGAACCACTGGCATCTGAATGTACGAAGCAAGATATGATCATTTTAAATTCTCTTAAAGTAGTTATCTAATATCAGGCAGAGGAATGGAATGGCTTCCACAATTCATAAATTGACTATTACAGACTAATACCAAAAGTAATGTAGTAATCTTTCCGGTTGTGATTACATTAATGGTGAGTAGCTAAGTTAAAAGTCCATTATGTTGAATGACAGAGCCAAACGTTTAGTTGAGTGGGGACGACAAAGCATGTTTGTCTAAGTTAGAAAAGAAGTAGAGGTACTTTTGCGAAAATTAAATATAGACTTAATTTTGAGCTAAAAGTTACTTTTTTTGTTTTGGCAAACGTATTTAAAAACAAAAAAATTATTTAGAAGTAACTTCCAAACTTATACACGGTTAGCTAAGCTTAAAAGTTAATTGTAAGTAACATTACATTTTTCAACACTTAGCCAAATCCAACCTAAAAAATTAATTCACAGTTCAGCAAACTAAATGATAGCGACGCAACAAAATTCAGAAACCTCTCACAGTTCAGCAAACTAAATGAAGTGAAGAAACAAAATTCAGAAACCTTCCAAAACCCCAAGTCTTTCAAGTCCCTAAAATTACTGTTTTTTTGTTTCAAGAGAAGAACCAAAAATAACAAACTGAAGAGATAATTGGATTTTTAGCATGATTCAGATTTAAAAAAAAAAAAACCAGCAAAAATTGTCCTGCAATTCTTCAGATGGATCTCTGATGCTACAGAAGGCTACTACTCTTAATCCTTTCACCTATTTCATTTTTGCATTTATGTTTCTCATTCGTCTCTCTTTCAATTTTGCCTATTTGAAATCCATATCGTAGCAGCACTTCCCTCCGTCAAACATCACCATGTTCAGCAGCAACATCCTATTGCGCAATATAAACCAAGAATTGCAGTTTGTTTTGTGGATGGGGTAACAGAGTTCAAGCTCAATGCACATCCATCGTGCAGACGACTGTCAAATTATACAATTATGGATATCCTTCTCACGACCCATTGTATTCCAATGCTTATAACCTTTTGCCTATAAAGAATCCACCATAATTGTAGCTACAAAAAGCTTTCAGCTGAAACTGTCCCAGAGAAGAGTCAAAGCAGAGAATTCTCACTTCTACAGGAAAAAGTTTCCAAATCCAAGGGCAACTGCCCCCATGGAGCTCTGTAAACATAAATTTCTTTGCATAAGAAAGATCGACATTAAACAGGCAAAGACAAAATCGTATAACTCATGGCAGATTTAATGAATTTCATGCCATGTAATCCATTGGTGTCCAATATTCTACTTTTTGTTGTCATATCCTCGTGTTTATGAAGTCTACAATATTTCAATTTTAAGAAGGATAATCACTCACTGATCACTTCCAAACATTAATTCCCTTCTCCAAATAATCCCTGCCATTATTTAATCTTTCGTCAGCATTTTAAGTCCTTGAAGCCCATCATATTTTCAAGTAATTTCATCAAACAATACATTGGTCGTTAAAAAGAATGCAAGTCAAATAATCAAACACTGGGTGCACCTTCTTTCCATGACAATTCAGCCAGACAAAAAAAATTCCCCGAGTCATTCCACAATTAAAGTCACAGCCTTCAATCAGATATAGCCTAATTACTGAAAGCAAGAATCATCCATGCATAAATCTCACGAGTGCCCACATTATACAACAGTATAGTACTACTCAAGAACATATATTTCACTAAACTGAAACAGAATGATCATATTAATCCACCAATTAATAAGCAAGAAATCTTGATACTTACTGAAAACCTTAAAACCCGATAAGAACAGAAAATCTTGAAAACCCATAAAATTAAGAGACTAACTAACCTGAGGCCTGAATATCAGAGGAGAATGAGAAGCCCTAGGGCTAGGAGGGGGGGACTGACCCATGAACTCACCACCCTGCGCAGGATAGTTACAGTGCGCACCATCTTGATCAACCATGCAATCCTGCACACTACCACCGCTCTCCACCCCAGATTGGTTGCTGTCGCCACCGTCTTCTTTTCCATTAGTATTCCCCATTTTAATTATTACAAGAACGGAATCTTCAAAGAATCTGTATATATAGATTATCCTTTATAACATTAACACAAAAAGGAAAAGCAATTAAAGGATTGAAATTTAGAGTGTGTTTGTGACACATTCTTTTGAAAGAATGTATTATTGAATAGTAAATTGATGGAGAATGTGTGGTTAAAAATGAAAGAAAAGTTATTGATGTGATGAAAAATGTTATTTTATGGAAGAATATGTGGTTGAAAATGAGTAGAAGAATGAGAATGAAAAAAATAATGTGTACCAAACAGGGCCTTAAGAAACAATTTTCATAGCACTAATAAAGTCGATTAATAGAAGTGGAGGGGACTGTAACATGATGGGTTCAAATGTGCAGCGAGGAATAATAATGGGGTGGTATGGCAGTGGGCAAAGAGAAGCGGGTTCACTGGAGGGATTCAAGTCACATCATTCTGTTCCTGGTTATTTTTGTTCCCTTCCAGGTTCTTTTAATAATTTTTTGGAAATTCCTAAATTAAGGCTATGTTTGGTACTGATTCTCATTTTCAACAGTAAATCAATTCTCATTTTCAATCACACATTCTTCAATAAAATAATATTTTCTATCACATCAATAATCTTATCTTCTTTTTCAACCACACATTTCCCATCATATCACTATTTAAAATCAATTCTTCCCCCCAAAAAATCCCTACTAAACACACACTAAATTGACATGAATCTTTTCGTGTCTCTGGTATCAGAAAAAATGTATTTATTGACGTAGGCAAATTTGGATAACAAAAATATATTTATAACGTCCTGTGCAGTGCCAGGGCCACGGCACACTTCGGCACTGTATAGAGCCACATGGCCCTATACAAATAGGGCTGCCCGCAAATTTAGAAAACATATGTTTGGAAAAACATGAATAAGGTGATAATTTCAATTAATAATATATAATATTTCTTCGTATATGTTATAATTTATACATATACATAATTGGTATGCATTTATATTATCAACCCACTCCACCCACCCCATTCAATTTTACCGAAAAACTTTTCAAGGAACACCTCCACCTTCATAAATTCAAAAAAAAAAAAAAATCTCTCTCTCTCTCTATAGAAGCCCCCAATTTTAGGAATTTTTTCAGGGAAGATTGTAATCTCGAAAAATTCAAAACTCTCTCTCTCTCTCTCTCTATATATATATATATATAGAGAGAGAGAGAGAGAGAGAGAGAGAGGTGATGTGATGTGATGAGGTCACAACTATGTTCAGGGAATATATCTGCGTGATGGCGACGATGGTGCATTACATGTGATGATAGTGCATTGAAGTTAATTCGTGTGATGGTGGTGGTGGTGAAGTGAAGTTATAGCAACGTCTTAGGTACTGTGTAGTGGCAATAGTGCTGCAATGTAGGTGACCGACTTTGTAACTAATTGTGTTTTCTGTTATTAGATTTATTGTTTGTGATTAAATCTATATTATCTGTGACTAACTATAATCAAATTTGTCTTCAGTGTGACTGCATGTGACCGGGTCAGTCTAATTTGTGACTATATGTAACCAAGTCACTAACCTATGTTATATCCCTAACTTTTACCAAATTTGTTTTCCATGTAACTGTATGTGACCAGATCAGTCTACTTTGTGATTATATGTAACCAAGTCACTTCTAATTTGATCACATGTGTTGATGTTCAAAATTGATTTTGCCAATTTTGTCAACTTGAGAGTGGATTGAGTGAAGTAATTGTGCGAAGATATTAAAGAAGGAAAGACAAAAGATGTATTTTTTGTAGGTAAATACTGAAGTACAAAGTAGGAAAGGGATTGTCTTGTGGTCCCTTCCATGGGATTATTTCTTTCCTTTTATATAAGGGTTTGTGAACCCGTTGCTGACTTAGGTGACGTCATCTACAGTGTTTTTCTTATTAAGTGTGTGCAACTTGATCAATCGAGCTCGATTATGATTGGATGGCGAGGTTAGTCAAAGCAGTGCATTATAATATCTCGGATGGAGGCTGCCACCTTTTGTCATTACAACTTTGTGATTGGTCGACTTGGGGTGGTGAGGTCAGTAAGTCCATGTGTCATTATGCGTACGGAAGAGGAGGAGGTAGATGTGGAGATGATGATTACATCCCAGTCAAATCAATAATCATGATGTCCACGAATCTCGAAGACTTATATTCCGAGCTGGGTGAAATAAGTAATCGAGCTGGCTGCTGAGGTAAAAAAAGTTGTTCACTATTTGCTTCGTAATCTGGTTTAGTATGTTAATTAGTGAAATATCCTTGATTAGAAATCGATGTAAACAACAGACAATCACAGTTAACACAAGTCAGAGACAGTCAAAATGAAGATAAATTTGATCACACAGCCACTGCCACGACAACACCAATATCAATACCACTAACAACACCAAAATCACTACGACTTTTCTATGACTTTGCCGAAGGTGGAGAACGGTGCTGAAGAACGGTGGAGAATGGCATTGGAGAACAGCACTAGAGACTGCAGCGTGAAGAGGATGGTGGAGAACGGTGTTCGCCTGCAGCAGCGCCGATGCTGTGGGCAAAGGTCACACTATGCTCATGCACAGAGTCTCACAGCAACTCCGATCCTCTTCTAGCAGCATTGGTATTGCAACGGCGTGAATTATCTTGTAGTGGTGCCAAAATAGAGGATGTGGTGATTGACGTCATTGCTCTGTTGTGATATAAAGAGGGGGGAATTGTTTAGGGATTGATCAATTGGGTATGTTTATTAGATTTGAACGATGTACTATTATTATATTAAATTTTTATTAATTAATCCACTAAAATTTAATTACCATATGGTATGTGAAATTATAACTAATCCACCTTATTCATGAATTCTTTATATATAGGATTTTGAGTAATTTTCCCATATTTCCGTGTACACTTGAGAGAAGGCATTTTATGCTAACATTTTTAACTTTGACCTTAGGAAAAAAACTATGTTATAATGTATAACACAGACAATTAATTTTTGTTAAATTTGTAAAATTAACCCTTACTTGGATTTAATTTTTTTTTTTTTTGTTTGACTGTATAATTTGCATATTATTACTTAATAACACAGCAGGTAAACAAGATATTCTCAATCCTACTAAAATCGAACAACATAAAAAATCGAGAAGCAGCATAATTACAATTTACACAAGATAACTCATAAAGTTAGAAACCGCCAAAAAAGTCAACAATTGGCTTAGATAAAATCAAAATTTTATTTTATTTTCTTAGTTTTAAGTTTCTAACACCCATTCTAACCGATTTTGACTCTCTTCCTGTTTGAAACGATATCTAATCAATTTTTAAAATGTATTATTATTGCAATAGCTATTGGGTATTTACTTAAGTATGCATGACATAATTAAATAATTTCAATATCTATAATAGGATCATTTTTATGTTTAGGAAGAATCTACCATAAGAATTATCCCTTTAGCGATTACAATCAAGTGAGGCAATTTTGAATTTAATTTACTACTATCTTAGAATATCAAGCCTATTCAGATGTCCAGCATCTAACAGTATCCCATAGAACAAAAACGAATTTGAAACTCAGCCACCACGCACAGAGACGACGACAATCAACAATCAAATTTAAGATTTTTCACATTTTCTAGCGTTAGCGAAAAATAAAGATAAAGCGTGGTAAAATCATAAACATAAACGGTGTTTTCGTAGGCTTTCTTGAACCTTAATTCAATTAGATTAGTAAATGCTGAAATTACACTCAACCAGAGTTTTTAAAATCCAACTTAAAAAATCGAATCTAAAGTTTATTTATACAAAATCATATATTAATTCAAATATTATAAATAAATATTTTAATATTAATAATAATATTATAAATTAATTTATATAAACACGTCCTACTCCATCCACCTAATTCAAACCTTAAATCATTTTCTCTCCTCTTCTCTCATCTCCATTCTCTCATCTTCTATCTTCGCCTCTCATCTCTCTCTACCCTCTCCCTCAGACCATCGTCGTAATCGGGAAGGGCCCATCATCGGAGACCCTCTTCGAGTGTCGCTACGTAGCGATATCATCATCGCTACGTAACCTTGCTTGATGTGAGCGTCACACAACATCATTGCCCTTACTGTTACTGCATTCAGTAGGGGCTCTATGGTGCAGCCCGGTAATTCATAGCAGTTGGAGGTGAAATTGATATAGCAAAGCTAGGGAACTTGACAGTGGGGAGACCCTTGGCCGGCAATGGTGCAGTGGTGGGTTGCGTTGGTGGTAGTATAGGTAGTGATTGTGGTGCTATAGGTGGTTGGTACAAATGGTAGTGGATATGGCGATGGCGATGGCGGTGGCGGTGGAAGTGAGGTGTTGGTTTTGGTTTTGGTTGTTGGAGCGGTGGTTGTGGTGGTAGTGGTGGTTGTGATTTCCATATTTTGGTGTTCTTGGGATTTGGGGTAGTTTTTGTTGGTGCTGCATGTGGGGGTGCTAGCGGTGGTGACGATTTGGCAATATAGGCGATGGTGATGGTGAATGTGATGGCGTGAGGTATGAGCGTTTGTGACTAATTATTTTATTAATTGTAAGCAATAAATAATATGTAACCAATTATTTGAGATTGTAACAATAAATTGGATATTTTGTGACCAATATATATTATGTAACCTATAACTTATGACAAATAAATAATATGTGACGTAAAAACTTGAGTTGTGACTTATAACTTTGTGAATTATGATTGATAAATAAATTGTAACCTATAAATTTTTTGATTTGTACTAATGAATAAATTATGACCTGTAAATTTTTTTATTTGTAATCGTGAAATAATTTGTGATCTATATAATTTTTTATTCATGACCGAGAGATAATTTGTGATCAATTAATTTGATAATTTGTTATCAAATAGTATAAAATTATGACCTTAATATATTTAATTAATTATTTCATAAATAAAATTTAATTAAAATCTAATTTTTGAAGTTTTAAACCTTATTTCTCAATTTTGAAATTGAA